TACCATATATTTAAGACAAGCGTTCGCTGACGACATGAACATTATTATAAAAGTACACACAGTAATATAAGCGCACAAGCTGGGAACATTCTTTTGCTAAATAATGTTGAATAAATTCATTGCATTGTGTAATTCATATTTTGTCTTTTTTTTTCCTGAAGGTTAGAGTTTTTTTATTGAAAACTATGAGTATTGTATCGTCCCTTGATATTACATAATTGCCATGTTTTTTAAATTTCAAAATTTGATAATAAACGAATAAACATTAAAGCAATTTGTATCTTCATCCATTTATTTCTGTTGGATTTTATCAACAAGTTTCTATTTACAGAAAATCGGGTTACAAATCTAGGTCATATCCAAAGATAATAAGAAAATTTCATTATTTATACATGTATATTTATATATCGATTACAATAGTTTTAAAATATTTCAACAGCCTTACATAATGTTTAAAAGGCGAAATCTTAAGATTAATATCAAAGTCAATCATTTGAATATGACAATTTAAATATTATTAATGCCATTTTATGTATTTTCAAATTAGTAAAAAACAAATATGCATAACCAATTAAATATATTCGCATGCTAATTACCCTTAATTGGATTTTAAACATTATACTTGTGAGACGAAATTAACGGCCGTATTTGCATGCATGGCCAAGTTCTGTGTTCAATATTGTATTCATCTTTTTGTACTCTTTACTTTTCTACCAAAGTATTGCCAATTTAACTGCGAAAAAAATTCAGTCCAAATGAGAAAATATAATGTTTAACAGGACAAGCAAGAGATGTCAGTAGCGAAGCGTGCTCGACTTTACTTAGTGCTTGATAGTGAAAACAATTGACAAAGAAATTAGACAAATGCATATGACAAAAAAAATGAGGAATCCTAATATACTAAAATAAAAAAAAGTATTTGAATAAAAAAACGATAGGATATAAGTTATTTAGTGATGTTTTTATTAAGTTTTATAAAAATATAGTATTCTGTATCAAAGAAAACATTGTCAAATCACTTTTATCATGACTTTGTAACATATCTGCTTCATTTCTATCATGCTATCATAAAATTGATATATATATATATATATATATATATATATATATCAATTTTATGATAGCATGATAGAAATGAAGCAGATATGTTACAAAGTTTATTCTGATTAAAAAAAGATCATATATATAATATTTATTGTAAATAACGATTGTATTGTTACTCTATACCGATGGGCAAACAGCCTTTGTATAAATACAAGTTTACTATATATTTAAGACAGACGTGCATTAATTGTTAACTCGCTGACGACATCAACATTGTTATAAAAATACAAACGGTATTTTACGCTAATAAGCTGGAAACATTTGTTTTGCTTAATTATGCTGAATGACTACATTGCATTTGTAAATTGTGTAATTTAGATTGTGTTATTTGAATTTTTTTAATCGGAGTACAATTGTCCGCTGTTGGTTGGAGTTTTTGTCTGAAAACTATATGTATTGTACCGTTCCTTGATAAGTCATTTAATATACAAATTTCCATTAGTTCAACCTTCTTGTTTTCTCACTTCCATTTTCTTTATTGTTTTTACTATATGTATAATATTTTTCGCTAAAAATATAATTGTCTATAAATTTATGTTGACAAGTTATATTGTATCATTTTTTATATGTGTTGTGTAGCAAGAAATGTCATGTTTCCGTTACCAAATAAAAATATTTTGAATCTTGAATCTTGATATTCTATAATAATCATGTTTTATAAATTGCAAAATTTTATAATAAACGAATTAACATTTAAGCAATTTGTATCTTCATCCTTTTATTTCTGTTGGATTTTATCAACAAGTTTCTATTTACAGACAACCAGGTTATAAATCTAGCGCATATCTAAGATAATAAAATAAAGTCATTATATGCCTAATTATTGACATTTTATTTATGTTTACACCGGCGATAGAAACACCTATCAATACAATATAATACTCTTTATTGGTAAGCCAGGTTCCAAACATGGTAACAACAGGACAATTTATCTAAAATATTAATAATATGTGGGTAATATTATATTTTAGTTAGCTAGTTATCAATATAAGGTAAATGAGCATAATGTTGCGGGACAGAAAAATAAATACATTTATCTTACACACTCATAAAGCAATCGCAGCTACTCAGCCCTTTCCGTCAGTCTTCGGATAAGGACCTCGAACACAATAGTATAAATACACAGAACGGATGCGGTATTTCGGTGTAACCTACGCTAAGAAACTAAACATGTAAGGAGGCAGTACACAGTTTCGGCCGTTTAGTTTGAGGTTCTAAATGTTTATAGTTACTATATTTCAAGTTTCAATGACTAGTATTGTGTTTCAGTTATTTAGTAAAATTGAATTTAGTGGTGTTGACCCTTGGTTTTTTGAGAGAGTACCTGTCGGATGCGAACGTGTGGTTTTTGGAGCTAGCCGGTGAATCAGCTCTTCAATTTAAAGGGTATGCAGAAGACTTAGAATAGTGAAAAAAAGTAGGTGCATGACTCCCCGTTTGGATGTTATTTTCAGATTGTGCATTGTTTAAGAAGGAAGAATCACTATAGCTTGTGATTTAATCTTTTGACGTTAATATATTTTTGTTATTATGCGAATAGGGGTAATCCACTTTTTTTGTCGTTGATTTTCGCGACCAAAACAATGAAAAACACAGGGCTATGTGCCAGAAAAATTAGAAGATGGACATGTACTTTTAATTGTTTGCTGTGAGATACATATGTATATGTTAAATATGAAATGCATTTATTTCAGGTGTGTGATTACAGACTTGTGTGTGAGGTTTTGATTGTGGCGCAGTCAGTTGTTTGCCGAGAAGCCTTGAAAACTGTGTATTGCCCCCTTGACCCATTACTTCATATACACGCCTTTTAACGCCTTTTTCACCCCCTTTTTATTGTCTCAAATGATGAAAAAATGCCTTATTTAGGCCCCAAACACTTGTTTTTGTTTGAGAAATGTTGTTAAAAAAAGTGACCTCTTTTTCGGCGCGGCCCCCCAACCAAAAGATACATCAGGGGGTTGCCAGAAGGGGGATGTGCCCCCTTCTGTTTGGGGGGGTTTGAAGGGGGGCGGAGTCCCCCTCATCGCCAAGAAAATTTTGGACTTGTGAGAGGCTGTAAATGACCCCAGATTGATCATAAGGTAACGTGTAACCAACGCTGAAAAGCATTTGACTCTATCTCAATCCATTGAGAAGTTGCAGCACTTTGAAATCAATTTTGATGGAAAAAATCAACGCAAAATAGTGATTTTTGGCAATTTTGAGATGTCCCCTCGTTGCCATGGTAACAGAAAATTTCAGCCTGAGCATGTTGTTGCAAGGGCAATTGTCCAGTGAACATTTGTGCCAAGTTTGATTAGTGTTGAAGCAGTTTTTATAGTATTATAGCAATTTGAACTTGTAACGGGAGACTTTTCAATGAAAACAGCCATTTTTCACAAAATGCTCATGAAGTAATGGGTTAATGAAAAAAATCAAAAAATCTACAAAACAACAATTTTTCTTCAAATTTATAAGACAGACCATGTTTAAACATGAAAAAACGCGATTTAGGGTAATTTCAAGTATTTTCATCATTTTCTGTTAACCCATTACTTCATATACACGCCTTTTAACGCCTTTTTCACCGCCCCCCTTTTATTGTCTCAAATGATGAAAAAATGCCTTATTTAGGCCCCAAACACTTGTTTTTGTTTGAGAAATGTTGTTAAAAAAAGTGACCTCTTTTTCGGCGCGGCCCCCCAACCAAAAGATACATCAGGGGGTTGCCAGAAGGGGGATGTGCCCCCTTCTGTTTGGGGGGTTTGAAGGGGGGCGGAGTCCCCCTCATCGCCAAGAAAATTTTGGACTTGTGAGAGGCTGTAAATGACCCCAGATTGATCATAAGGTAACGTGTAACCAACGCTGAAAAGCATTTGACTCTATCTCAATCCATTGAGAAGTTGCAGCACTTTAAAATCAATTTTGATGGAAAAAATCAACGCAAAATAGTGATTTTTTGGCAATTTTGAGATGTCCCCTCGTTGCCATGGTAACAGAAAATTTCAGCCTGAGCATGTTGTTGCAAGGGCAATGGTCCAGTCAACATTTGTGCCAAGTTTGATTAGTGTTGAAGCAGTTTTTATAGTATTATAGCAATTTGAACTTGTAACGGGAGACTTTTCAATGAAAACAGCCATTTTTCACAAAATGCTCATGAAGTAATGGGTTAATGAAAAAAATCAAAAAATCTACAAAACAACAATTTTTCTTCAAATTTATAAGACAGACCATGTTTAAACATGAAAAAAACGCGATTTAGGGTAATTTCAAGTATTTTCATCATTTTCTGTTAACCCATTACTTCATATACACGCCTTTTAACGCCTTTTTCACCGCCCCCCCTTTTATTGTCTCAAATGATGAAAAAATGCCTTATTTAGGCCCCAAACACTTGTTTTTGTTTGAGAAATGTTGTTAAAAAAAGTGACCTCTTTTTTCGGCGCGGCCCCCCAACCAAAAGATACATCAGGGGGTTGCAGAAGGGGGATGTGCCCCCTTCTGTTTGGGGGGTTTGAAGGGGGCGGAGTCCCCCTCATCGCCAAGAAAATTTTGGACTTGTGAGAGGCTGTAAATGACCCCAGATTGATCATAAGGTAACGTGTAACCAACGCTGAAAAGCATTTGACTCTATCTCAATCCATTGAGAAGTTGCAGCACTTTGAAATCAATTTTGATGGAAAAAATCAACGCAAAATAGTGATTTTGGCAATTTTGAGATGTCCCCTAGTTGCCATGGTAACATAAAATTTAAGCCTGAGCATGTTGTTGCAAGGGCAATGGTCCAGTCAACATTTGTGCCAAGTTTGATTAGTGTTGAAGCAGATTTTATAGTATTATAGCAATTTGAACTTGTAACGGGAGACTTTTCAATGAAAAAAGCCATTTTTCACAAAATGCTCATGAAGTAATGGGTTAAGAGCAAAATTTGATTTTTTGTAAGTACTTTTTAATATCATAATTTCATGTTTATAATGACCCAAAGTTGTGGCTGTGGTGAAATATGAGCTTTTAAAGTGCATATTTTGCCTCGTGTCTATATTAGAGAGCAAAATCAAGGGGAGGTAATTCTTCATTGACAGTTAAAAATCATGCATTCAAGTGTTTGGTGAGCTATTCATCTTCACATTTAAGCTCACTTGAGTCATTTTCTCTAACATAGTGGTTCCAGGAGCATCAAATGATAGAAATAAGCAATTTTCATACAAAATTTTGGACTATCGCATCGATTCCAACCATTTTAGTTCAAATGAAGGCCTCGGATCGGGCATTTTTTTGCGAGACCAGTCCATTTTTTAAAGTAATTTCTGAACATGTTTTTCAGAACTGTTTCATACTGGGAGTGGTCATAAATGGTTGAAATAGCCTAAATACTTGAATAAATATCAATTTTGATCTATCTGACAGTTTTTTTAACTTTGATAAGCAGATTTTGAAGGGACGGTCAAGAATAAACATAAAACAGCTGATTTTGCTCAAACGCGAAACACATCGCAATCAATTTTCCTTTCGCAATGTCATAAATTAGCATTATGTAAATCAGTTTCACTTTTAAATCCTTGAAATGTCATTTTGCTATGTATCTTGAAGCAGATTTCTTTCAAAGAATGACAATTTTTCATTGTCTGTAGCTCGAAATTCTAGCATGGCAGCTTTTTTGCGGAATAACTGAACATTGAAAATCTTGATACAGCACATGCTCTAGAGCAGAAATTGGAGCTAAGAGCACTTAAGAGAAAAATTGATTGATTTGTAATTTTTTGTAAGTACTTTTTAATATCATAATTACATGTTTATATTACCCCAAAGCCTGTGGCTATGGTGAAATATGAGCTTTTAAAGTGCATATTTTGCCTCATGTCTATATTAGAGAGCAAAATCAAGGGGAGGTAATTCTTCATTGACAGTTAAAAATCATGCATTTAAGTGTTTGGTGAGCTATTCATCTTCACATTTAAGCTCACCTGAGTCATTTTCTCTGACATAGGGGTTCCAGGAGCATCAAATGATAGAAATAAGCAATTTTCGTATAAATTTTTGGACTATCGCATCGATTCCAACCATTTTAGTTCAAATGAAGGCCTCGGATCGGGCATTTTTTTCGAGACCAGTCCATTTTTTAAAGTAATTTCTGAACATGTTTTTCAGAACTGTTTCATACTGGGAGTGGTCATAAATGGTTGAAATAGCCTAAATACTTGAATAAATATCAATTTTGATCTATCTGACAGTTTTTTTAACTTTGATAAGCAGATTTTGAAGGGACGGTCAAGAATAAACATAAAACAGCTGATTTTGCTCAAACGCGAAACACATCGCAATCAATTTTCCTTTCGCAATGTCATAAATTAGCATTATGTAAATCAGTTTCACTTTTAAATCCTTGAAATGTCATTTTGCTATGTATCTTGAAGCAGATTTCTTTCAAAGAATGACAATTTTTCATTGTCTGTAGCTCGAAATTCTAGCATGGCAGCTTTTTTGCGGAATAACTGAACATTGAAAATCTTGATACAACACATGCTCTAGAGCAGAAATTGGAGCAGGAGAGAAGTTGGCACATCTTAAAATGGATTGAAAATATGCCTGAATATATGCTTAGCATGAAAGAATGTTAGTAGAATTGTAAATGCATCATAATCATGTGTTTTGTGGACTTTGAAATACTTCTTGTTTTGTCATTAAAAAATGGGTAATTTTAAGGTAAATTCTCAGTATTCATGACCTTTTTTTATTGGCAATATTTGCTGAAGCATGTAGTGCCCTTATATAATTCAGTGGTAAATTTCATTCAAATTGATCAAATTATAGAAATGAAGGTCAAAATTGATTGGTAATTCTTCATTGACAGTTAAAAATCATGCATTTAAGTGTTTGGTGAGCTATTCATCTTCACATTTAAACCTGAGTCATTTTCTCTGACATAGGGGTTCCAGGAGCATCAAATGATAGAAAAAAGCAATTTTCGTATAAATTTTTGGACTATCGCATCGATTCCAACCATTTTAGGTTCAAATGAAGGCCTCGGATCGGGCATTTTTTTCGAGACCAGTCCATTTTTTAAAGTAATTTCTGAACATGTTTTTCAGAACTGTTTCATACTGGGAGTGGTCATAAATGGTTGAAATAGCCTAAATACTTGAATAAATATCAATTTTGATCTATCTGACAGTTTTTTTAACTTTGATAAGCAGATTTTGAAGGGACGGTCAAGAATAAACATAAAACAGCTGATTTTGCTCAAACGCGAAACACATCGCAATCAATTTTCCTTTCGCAATGTCATAAATTAGCATTATGTAAATCAGTTTCACTTTTAAATCCTTGAAATGTCATTTTGCTATGTATCTTGAAGCAGATTTCTTTCAAAGAATGACAATTTTTCATTGTCTGTAGCTCGAAATTCTAGCATGGCAGCTTTTTTGCGGAATAACTGAACATTGAAAATCTTGATACAACACATGCTCTAGAGCAGAAATTGGAGCAGGAGAGAAGTTGGCACATCTTAAAATGGATTGAAAATATGCCTGAATATATGCTTAGCATGAAAGAATGTTAGTAGAATTGTAAATGCATCATAATCATGTGTTTTGTGGACTTTGAAATACTTCTTGTTTTGTCATTAAAAAATGGGTAATTTTAAGGTAAATTCTCAGTATTCATGACCTTTTTTTATTGGCAATATTTGCTGAAGCATGTAGTGCCCTTATATAATTCAGTGGTAAATTTCATTCAAATTGATCAAATTGTAGAAATGAAGGTCAAAATTGTGGTTTTAAAAATGTTTTGTTGCGACGGACGCGCCCACAGGCGCGTTCAGAGCTAAGTCATCTACACATGGGATTTCGTCGGCTACAATCGCGCAAAGTGTCCTAAACCGATTAACAGCCCAAGAAATTGTACATGAATTTGATCCTTCAAAAACTCCCATACTTTGTCGGGATATCTTAAAGTCTTCCATAATTTACGCCTTTTCAATTTTCAAATTAAGTTATCGCAAGTTAAAATATGAAACGTAAATATTATGATAAAAACGTTGTAAGTCCCGTAAGCTAATTATTGCGCAATATGCAAAATTACTGCCGAAACGACTCGTGACTCATACCGTGGGTTCGCTGAATATTCAGCAGTTATTAATAAATAGATACAGTACAATGGTTGTATAAAATATCTATTTTTTGAAAATGCATGTAAGAAGAGAGTTAATTTTTCAACACTTTACCACCATGTAGTCTTTCAATGGTAAGGAAGTTATAATATCAGTTCTTTATTCCGATTCTTGCGTGTTTGTTTACATATTTTTCTAGGTCACGATATGAGTTAACCTTCGCTATTCTAAAAATAGATTCTGCTTCACTTTGTTGCTGATTTTTTTGGACAGGCGATTATGGAGTACACATTATACATGTAATAAACCAACGGATTACACATGCAATACATTTTAGAAATTCTATACGATTGTAAGAAGAAGATTGAATTTAGTGGTGAAATTGAAAAGGACAATTTTCTAAACACTGTAGTGCTTAAGTGACATTTAAATGAAAAATAAAAACGAATGTGCTCTGGCCTCTACATCTTTACCTTGTAAATAAAAAAAAAAATCTAAAACAAGAAAAATATTACATACATTCGTATGTAATAATAGGTACGATTGCATACTACTTTTTGTGAAGTCCTTATGTTGCTGAATTAAAGGTGTTAATGTAAAAATGAACAAACATGTCATGAGATATTTTATATCTTTTAAACATTTTCATGGAATGTAATTAATGTATCACCATATTAAAGTTGCATGCCTTCAGCTGAAGAAAAATGATTTCAAAGGAAATCAAAATATGAAAAGAAAATTCACGGTCATTGACTGCTTTGAAGCATAATCACAAAATAAAATACAGAAAAATTAAAAAACCGTTTTTAATACACTTAAGGTAGAATTTCATTGTAAATCATAGTCAAAAGATTTGAGATATGGTTTTTTATTCATATTAACATGCATCATTATTGGTTATATAATAATAAAAAAAAAACCCGAAAGACACAGTAAAATTGTAAATATTTATTACAATAAAATATGAAAAAAGGTATACGCGCCGAGGTTGGCTATAAATTAAAATTCCCGCGCTAAGTCGCGGTGGTGGGCTTGGGATAATCACTTGATACTGTAAATGGCAGCCATTTTACGATACAACGAATCCCCGGAACAGTTTATCCTGCCGAAAAGATATGAAAAAAATACTTGCAATTCAAAGTTTGCTGGCTACATAAAGATTATCGAATTTACTCTTTCACACTTTTTCTCTGCCTGAGTATAAATAATATTGACGTGTTTTCATTGGCTTAAACCATCACCTAAGTTACCAATACACATGTAGGTGTGAACTAAATTTCGTGTTTATTAAAATTATTCCGTTAATAGACATATAACAATCGCTTATTTACAAATGAATTGATAAAACAACAATCCAGAAGCCATTTAAGATAATAAACAATCATTGGAAAAAAATAAATGCATATAAATTGTAAAATTTGTGTATGACAACTCAACCCCTAAACAAAACATAATAGACTCAACCAAAACAAGCGCCTGCTTGTTCACCTTACTATAGTAGTTTGCATGACCATGATCAAGCAATTTAGCAAACCAAATCTAAGAGATAAACCTATTGTAAAAATAAATACAATGACCAACAGTCAGATTTCGTACAGAAAAATACACTATTAATTTGCTGATGGAATTTGAACCAAAAATTTTTTTTTTTAATGAGACCGTATCCAAGAGAAATAAAAATACACAAATGACTTATATTATTGTCTATATGGTCCACTATGATATAACAACGAAAGCATTTATTTCAGGTGTGTGATTACAGACTTGTGTGTGAGGTTTTGATTGTGGCGCAGTCAGTTGTTTGCCGAGAAGCCTTGAAAACTGTGTATTGCCCCCTTAAGAGCAAAATTTGATTTTTTGTAAGTACTTTTTAATATCATAATTACATGTTTATATTGACCCAAAGCTGTGGCAATGGTGAAATATGAGCTTTTAAAGTGCATATTTTGCCTCATGTCTATATTAGAGAGCAAAATCAAGGGGAGGTAATTCTTCATTGACAGTTAAAAATCATGCATTTAAGTGTTTGGTGAGCTATTCATCTTCACATTTAAGCTCACCCGAGTCATTTTCTCTAACATAGTGGTTCCAGGAGCATCAAATGATAGAAAAAAGCAATTTTCGTACAAGATTTTGGACTATCGCATCGATTCCAACCATTTTAGTTCAAATGAAGGCCTCGGATCGGGCATTTTTTGCGAGGCCAGTCCATTTTTTTAAGTAATTTCTGAACATGTTTTTCAGAACTGTTTCACACTGGGAGTGGCCATAAATGGTCGAAATAGCCTAAATACTTGAATAAATATCAATTTTGATCTATCTGACAGTTTTTTTAACTTTGATAAGCAGATTTTGAAGGGACGGTCAAGAATAAACATAAAACAGCTGATTTTGCTCAAACGCGAAACACATCGCAATCAATTTTCCTTTCGCAATGTCATAAATTAGCATTATGTAAATCAGTTTCACTTTTAAATCCTTGAAATGTCATTTTGCTATGTATCTTGAAGCAGATTTCTATCAAAGAATGACAATTTTTCATTGTCTGTAGCTCGAAATTCTAGCATGGCAGCTTTTTTGCGGAATAACTGAACATTGAAAATCTTGATACAACACATGCGCTAGAGCAGAAATTGGAGCAGGAGAGAAGTTGGCACATCTTAAAATGGATTGAAAATATGCCTGAATATATGCTTAGCATGAAAGAATGTTAGTAGAATTGTAAATGCATCATAATCATGTGTTTTGTGGACTTTGAAATACTTCTTGTTTTGTCATTAAAAAATGGGTAATTTTAAGGTAAATTCTCAGTATTCATGACCTTTTTTTATTGGCAATATTTGCTGAAGCATGTAGTGCCCTTATATAATTCAGTGGTAAATTTCATTCAAATTGATCAAATTATAGAAATGAAGGTCAAAATTGTGGTTTTAAAAATGTTTTGTTGTGCTTTGGTGAAATATGAGCTTTTAAAGTGCATATTTTGCCTCATGTCTATATTAGAGAGCAAAATCAAGGGGAGGTAATTCTTCATTGACAGTTAAAAATCATGCATTTAAGTGTTTGGTGAGCTATTCATCTTCACATTTAAGCTCACCCGAGTCATTTTCTCTAACATAGTGGTTCCAGGAGCATCAAATGATAGAAATAAGCAATTTTCATACAAAATTTTGGACTATCGCATCGATTCCAACCATTTTAGTTCAAATGAAGGCCTCGGACTGGGCATTTTTGTGAGACCAGTCAATTTTTTAAAGTAATTTCTGAACTTTTTTTCAAAACTGTTTCATACTGGGAGTGGTCATAAATGGTTGAAATAGCCTAAATACTTGAATAAATATCAATTTTGATCTATCTGACAGTTTTTTTAACTTTGATAAGCAGATTTTGAAGGGACGGTCAAGAATAAACATAAAACAGCTGATTTTGCTCAAACGCGAAACACATCGCAATCAATTTTCCTTTCGCAATGTCATAAATTAGCATTATGTAAATCAGTTTCACTTTTAAATCCTTGAAATGTCATTTTGCTATGTATCTTGAAGCAGATTTCTTTCAAAGAATGACAATTTTTCATTGTCTGTAGCTCGAAATTCTAGCATGGCAGCTTTTTTGCGGAATAACTGAACATTGAAAATCTTGATACAACACATGCGCTAGAGCAGAAATTGGAGCAGGAGAGAAGTTGGCACATCTTAAAATGGATTGAAAATATGCCTGAATATATGCTTAGCATGAAAGAATGTTAGTAGAATTGTAAATGCATCATAATTATGTGTTTTGTGGACTTTGAAATACTTCTTGTTTTGTCATTAAAAATTGGGTATATTTTAGGTAAATTCTCAATACTCATGACCTTTTTTTATTGGCAATATTTGCTGAAGCATGTAGTGCCCTTATATAATTCAGTGGTAAATTTCATTCAAATTGATCAAATTGTAGAAATGAAGGTCAAAATTGTGGTTTTAAAAATGTTTTGTTGTGCTTTAAGAGCAAAATTTGATTTTTTGTAAGTACTTTTTAATATCATAATTTCATGTTTATAATGACCCAAAGTTGTGGCTGTGGTGAAATATGAGCTTTTAAAGTGCATATTTTGCCTCGTGTCTATATTAGAGAGCAAAATCAAGGGGAGGTAATTCTTCATTGACAGTTAAAAATCATGCATTCAAGTGTTTGGTGAGCTATTCATCTTCACATTTAAGCTCACTTGAGTCATTTTCTCTAACATAGTGGTTCCAGGAGCATCAAATGATAGAAATAAGCAATTTTCATACAAAATTTTGGACTATCGCATCGATTCCAACCATTTTAGTTCAAATGAAGGCCTCGGACCGGGCATTTTTGCGAGACCAGTCCATTTTTTAAGTAATTTCTGAACATGTTTTTCAGAACTGTCTCATACTGGGAGTGGTCATAAATGGTTGAAATAGCCTAAATACTTGAATAAATATCAATTTTGATCTATCTGACAGTTTTTTTTAACTTTGATAAGCAGATTATGAAGGGACGGTCAAAAATAAACATAAAACAGCTGATTTTTGCTCAAACGCGAAACACATCGCAATCAATTTTCCTTTCGCAATGTCATAAATTGGCATTATGTAAATAAGTTTCACTTTTAAATCCTTGAAATGTCGTTTTGCTATGTATCTGGAAGCAGATTTCTTTCAAAGAATGACATTTTTTCATTGTCTGTAGCTCGAAATTCTAGCATGGCAGCTTTTTTGCGGAATAACTGAACATTGAAAATCTTGATACAACACATGCTCTAGAGCAGAAATTGGAGCAGGAGAGAAGTTGGCACATCTTAAAATGGATTGAAAATATGCCTGAATATATGCTTAGCATGAAAGAATGTTAGTAGAATTGTAAATGCATCATAATCATGTGTTTTGTGGACTTTGAAATACTTCTTGTTTTGTCATTAAAAAATGGGTAATTTTAAGGTAAATTCTCAGTATTCATGACCTTTTTTTATTGGCAATATTTGCTGAAGCATGTAGTGCCCTTATATAATTCAGTGGTAAATTTCATTCAAATTGATCAAATTATAGAAATGAAGGTCAAAATTGTGGTTTTAAAAATGTTTTGTTGTGCTTTAAGAGCAAAATTTGATTTTTTGTAAGTACTTTTTAATATCATAATTACATGTTTATATTACCCCAAAGCTGTGGCTATGGTGAAATATGAGCTTTTAAAGTGCATATTTTGCCTCATGTCTATATTAGAGAGCAAAATCAAGGGGAGGTAATTCTTCATTGACAGTTAAAAATCATGCATTTAAGTGTTTGGTGAGCTATTCATCTTCACATTTAAGCTCACCTGAGTCATTTTCTCTAACATAGTGGTTCCAGGAGCATCAAATGATAGAAAAAAGCAATTTTCGTACAAGATTTTGGACTATCGCATCGATTCCAACCATTTTAGTTCAAATGAAGGCCTCGGATCGGGCATTTTTTGCGAGGCCAGTCCATTTTTTTAAGTAATTTCTGAACATGTTTTTCAGAACTGTTTCACACTGGGAGTGGCCATAAATGGTCGAAATAGCCTAAATACTTGAATAAATATCAATTTTGATCTATCTGACAGTTTTTTTAACTTTGATAAGCAGATTTTGAAGGGACGGTCAAGAATAAACATAAAACAGCTGATTTTGCTCAAAGGCGAAACACATCGCAATCAATTTTCCTTTCGCAATGTCATAAATTAGCATTATATAGATAAGTTTCACTTTTAAATCCTTGAAATGTCATTTTGCTATGTATCTGGAAGCAGATTTCTTTCAAAGAATGACAATTTTTCATTGTCTGTAGCTTGAAATTCTAGCATGGCAGCTTCTTTGCGGAATAACTGAACACTGAAAATCTTGATACAGCACATGCTCTAGAGCAGAAATTGGAACAGGAGAGAAGTTGGCACAACTTAAAATGGATTGAAAATATGCCTGAGTATATGCTTAGCATGAAAGAATGTTAGTAAAATTGTAAATGCATCATAATTATGTGTTTTGTGGACTTTGAAATACTTCTTGTTTTGTCATTAAAAATTGGGTATATTTTAGGTAAATTCTCAGTACTCATGACCTTTTTATTGGCAATATTTGCTGAAGCATGTAATGCCCTTATATAATTCAGTGGTAAATTTCATTCAAATTGATCAAATTATAGAAATGAAGGTCAAAATTGTGGTTTTAAAAATGTTTTGTTGTGCTTTAAGGAGGCAGTACACAGTTTCGGCCGTTTAGTTTCGAATTGGCCAGGGTGGAATTCACAAATAAGAGACAGTTTTGAAATTGAAGTGGATATTTGAGGTTCTAAATGTTTATAGTTACTATATTTCAAGTTTCAATGACTAGTATTGTGTTTCAGTTATTTAGTAAAATTGAATTTAGTGGCGTTGACCCTTGTTTTTATGAGAGAGTACCTGTCGGATGCGAACGTGTGGTTTCTGGAGCTAGCCGGTGAATCAGCTCTTCAATTTAAAGGGTATGCAGAAGACAGAAGTAGGTGCATGACTCCCCGTTTGGATGTTATTTTCAGATTATGCATTGTTTAAGAAGGAAGAATCACTATAGCTTGTGATTTAATCTTTTGACGTTAATATATTGTTGTATTTTGCGAATAGGGGTAATCCGCTATTTTTTTTGTCGTTGATTTTCGCGACCGACCAAAACAATGAAAAACACAGGGCTATGTGCCAGAAAACTAGAAGGTGGACATGTATTTTTAATTGTTTGCTGTGAGATACATATGTATATGTTAAATATGAAATGCATTTATTTCAGGTGTGTGATTACAGACTTGTGTGTGAGGTTTTTAAGCCCCATATTGCAACCACACCACGCCGATACAATTAGTTCCACAAAAATTAAATAGGAAGTGTCACAATGCGATTACAAATGTCATGAGACCTTAAAGATGAAAAAATAATAAAAATTAAATACATAAAGATAGATAAAGTAAATAATGAAAATCAAGACAATACTTGTCAATAGATACTGACTAGAAGGTGGTAAACATTATTTCACAAAAGACATTATTCTTTGTGTAAAAACAGACAGTTTCATTAATACAGTTCTATCAGTATTTTGAAATAATTGCTGTAAATTAAACATGTTACCTCTTCGTAAATTAATGGGCAAGTACTTTCTACGATAAATGTTAAAATAAGGACACTGGAAGATATAATTAAACTCATCACCTAATAAAGAATTATTTGGACAGATATCTTAAATCATGATCCAAATTTAGATAACGACCCTTTTCAATAGGGAGTTTATGGTTACTATTTTTAAACCTGCACAGCGATAAGGCTAGTTTTCTAGGTAAAAGTTCAAAATAGGGTTCTAACTCAAATGAGGATTTAAGAATTCTGTAAGTGTTACATTTGCTAGAGTTAAACACCTGTTCATGCCACATTTGAACATATTGGTCTTTGATTCTAGATTTGACAATATTTTTAAAATAAGAAGGTGATAACACAGATTGGTTTATCCAGTCGGGTTTGTTTATAATAGCCGAGGCAGTAAAGGATAATTGGTGTACTAAAATGACGTCATTACCGCGCGCCTTTTATGAATGAATTGCACGATCGTAACTACTCGGCACTTTCTGTCAGACTTCGGATAAGGACCTCGCATTCGGAACTGCATCGGCTTTTATCTATGTTATAATAACCTCGGAAACAATACGGATTGAAAGTAGTTCTACCACGTGGTTTTCAGATGTATACAGAAACAGAGATTATGTAAAACGAATGTAAATATTTGACATCTAATGTCTGTTTCGGTACTCTTATGCTTGAAAATATGTGTGACAACAATTTTAAACAAATCCGACTTAATGTCAACAGGTTGGATTTTTGTACTTTCGGTCTCTACAGCGATTATAATAAATATACAAATAATATATTGTCTGCTTTTGTACCTATGAATTCACTTATTTTAGGTGGACTTTTACTACATATATTGGAAATAAACTTGTCAACAACTCCCAGCATAAAATTACTATTTGTTAACATGTTTAGTTTCTTAGCGTAGATTACACCGAAATACCACATCCGTTCTTTGTATTCATACTATTGTGTTCGAGGTCCTTATCCGAAGACTGACGGAAAGGGCCGAGTAGTTGGGATGGAAGGACCTCGAACACAACAAACCATGTATTATTATGTCTAAATTTTCTCTTTTCAAAAACCCATATTTTAGTTTTATTTTCACTGATTTTCTAACCCCATTTTCGTGAAAACTCATGCTTATGCTCTTATAAAAAATATAAATTAAAGAATACAATAACATGTACATAGACAATAAATTTATATCATCATTAGAAACCAGTGAGAAATCAATACACGAAGATATATGTAATAGAAAGTGCATCGAAACACGAGGCTATCTGATTTGTACGAGGGGGCGTAGACCCCGAGTATTAATCAGATTGCCGAGTGTTTTGATGTTTTTTGTCTTGTATCATAGTCAAACATAAAAACAGGTTCCCTGTTGTCACAATATGAAACCCAGTAAAGTGTAACCAATGAGTAATGAGTAACCAATGAGTAATGAGTAACCAATGAGCAAGCATCTGAATATGATATTTCTATTGCTGTTCCTTTCTCTGCCGTCACAATAAGTAAACCCCAGCAGAAATGAACCAATCAATGCGCATGCTCGGGAGTGCGGGTAACTATTACTAGCACCCCAGTTAACGCACAGTGCATGTATATGTATACGATTTCACTCAGACACATTTTCAACACATAGGTCCAAAAACTATGATAAAATAAAATAAAAAGAAGGGGCGGGAGTGCTTCTTCTTCTTCTTCTTATGATTATTATTATTATTATAATTGTTGTTGTTGTTGTTGTTAAGGGGCAGTACGGATATTTTTGAAATCATTGTCAAGTTGAGCTATATCTACTATTCAATTTAATTCAATTCAATTCGGGTATAATGTCACTTCAATCGATTATCAATAAATAAATAAATAAATAAGTTAATTAATAAATTAATAAATAAATAAATTAATTATAATGACATTTACAATAAGTGTCACTAAATCCTATTAATAGATCTCTACTCTGGCCTATCATTTTAATTGATAGCATTTACTTGAAGAAGAAACAATAGATTTAATCATTAACATTGACATGCAGTCTTTTGTTACTTTTGTTAACTAAAGGTGGTGAAGCAATTCTTATTGTTGGCACTTACTTGATAATTTGATTTAGACTGGTAAGGGGGGATGTCGAGCTTATGAATAGAATACTTCCATGTGTCAAAATAAAGTAACAGGATTTAACAAATTAAAGTAATTAGATATATCCGGTATGCAATTTCACATGTCCTTTTGTTTTAGTAACGGTGTGTTCTATAAAAACGCCAATTTCTAAATATTTGATCATTACATAAAAAAAGTTGCATGATACATGATATGATACATAATAAGAATGTTCTACCTAAATTGTCTGTAATAACAACAAGAAGAAAATAAATTCAACTTTGAACTTAACAGAACAAGGGTAAATATATATCATAATTGCTTTATGATTAAGATTAAACGTTAAACTGTATCCGGATTTTATGTCATTAATAATTCTTATACATAAAAAATATATAAAACTTTGTATTTTTACTCTTTTTTTTTTTAAAAAATTTTATTTTTAAATTTAAAAATTTATTTCTTACTTTACTTTGTTATTTCATTTTCCCTTTTCTGGAATTAAGTATTTTTTTTACGGATCAAATAAAAACCAATTCCCCAAAAGTTTTCCTTTTAAAATGAAGTCGGAACTTCTTAATAAAAGAAATAAATTCGAAATATGGATTTATTTTTGACTTTAAAAATTCAAAAATTTGGGAAAGCTGAAAACCACATATTTACATAAAATAGTGGTTTAAAATTTTTATTTTTTTTATCTTATGGGATTAAAAAGAACTGAAATTGTCAAAAAAAAACTTTGGGGGGAAGTACAGAACAAAAGCATTTAAATTAAAATGTAAATATCTGCAAAATACAAATGGAAACAAACCCATTAAAATGGGGACCCCGAAAATGCATACTGACGGTAAAACAATTTCAATGCGATATTTGTTTTATCAAATGTTCTTATATAACAGTTTTTTCTTGATAAAACGCATATGGCAATACACACAGGGGAGAAGCATTATAAATGCGAAACACATGTGACAAAACATTTGCAAATCAATGTAATCTTTTTACTCCATATGGTTGTGCACACAAGAGAGAAGAATTTTTAAATGTGAACTATGTGACAAAGCATTTGCCAATGCAATACGCATCTAAAAAACACATATGACAATGCACACAGGAGAGAAGAATTTTAAATGTAAAATATGTGACAAAGCATTTGGTCGCCAATGGCCACCTGAAAACACATATGACAGTGCACACAGGAGACAAGAATTTTAAAAATGTGAAATATGTGACAAAGCATTTTTGTTCTTGCAATAGCAGCCTGAAAACACATATGACAGTGCACACAGGAGAGAGGAATTTTAAATGTGAAATATGTTTTTTTATGACAAAACCTTTCCTTATATTAGCACTCTAAAAGATCATATGAGAGTGCACACAAGGAGAGAAGAAATTTTAAATGTGAAATATGTGACAAAAGCATTTGGTCGCAATGCCCACCTGAAAACACATATGACAGTGCAACAGGAGAGAGGAATTTTAAATGTGAAATATGTGACAAAAAGTTTTTCTTTATATTAGCACTCTAAAAGATCATATGAGACTGCACACAGGAGAGAAGAAATTTTAAATGTGAAATATGTGACAAAGCATTTTGGTCGCAATGATCATCTGAAAACACATATGACAGTGCACACAGGAGAGAAGAATCATAAATGTGAAAATATGTGACAAAAGAATTTACTTCAAAAATCTTAATCTTCAAATTCATTTAGAAGTACATTCAGGAAGTAGAAAAATTACAAAATGCGAAATATGTGACAAAGCATTCGCTCATAGAAAAAAATCTAAGAATGCATATGGTTGTGCACGCAGGAGAGAAAAAATTATAAATGTGAAATATGTGACAAAGCATTTGCTCATAAGAGTAATCTTAAAGTTCATGTAGTAGTACACACAGGAGCAAAAAATTATAAATGTGAAATATGTGAAAAAGAATTTGCTGTTAAAGTTTAGTCTTAAAAAATCTTATGACATTGCAACCCACAGGAGAGAGGAATTTTAAATGTGAAATATGTGACCAAAACGTTTCCGTATATAGCACTCTAAAAGATCATATGAGTGTGCACACAGGAGAGAAGAAATTTAAATGTGAAAAATATGTGACAAAGGGCATTTGGTCGCAATGCCCACCTGAAAACACATATGTGGGTGCACACAGGAGAGAGGAATTTTAAAATGTGAAATATTGTGACAAAAACCTTTCCTTATAATTAGCTCTCTTAAAGATCATATGACAGTGCACACAGGAGAGAAGAAATTTAAATGTTGAAATATGTGAGAAACCATTTGGTCGCAATGGTTATCTGAAAAAACATATGACAGTGCACACAGGAGAGAAGAATCATAAATGTGAAAATATGTGACAAAGAATTTACTTCAAAATCTTATCTTCAAATTCATTTAGAAGTACATTCAAAAGAGAGAAAGAATTACAAAATGCGAAATATGTGACAAAGCATTCGCTCGTAGAAATAATCTAAGAATGCATATGGTTTGTGCACACAGGAGAGAAAAATTATAAATGTGAAATATGTGACAAAGCATTTGCTCGTAAGTGTAATCTAAAATTTCATGTAGTAGTACACACAGGAGCAAAAAAATTTA